TTCCTTTTAGTACCTTGGTAAACAAATGAAGAAAATGAGATTAGCAGCCACAGCCTCTGCCTGTGTTGACCAGCCATCTCTTTTATTTACTTCTACTTGATAAATGTGTTAATTCAGTAGGCATCAAGTGCGTTATTTTCTTTTTGGAGATAGATCCTTGCTCTGCCGATCCCAGATTCAAACAATTCTCCTGCCTCAGCTTCCCGAGTAACTGGGATTACAAGCGCACGCCACCACACCCAACTAATATTTGTATTTTTAGTAGAGATGGGGTTTCACCACATTGGCCAGGCTGCTCTCGAACTCCCAATCTCAGGTGATCCACCTGCCTCCACCTCCCAAAGTGGTGGGATTACAGGTGTGAGCCACCACACCCAGTCTCAAGTGGCTTTTATGTAGTCATCATAGCACTGTCCAGAGCTAGGGGAGATTTGCAAGACCCATGAACACCCTTCTCATCCTAAAGGAGTTTTCCGTCAATTCGCGAAACGTGATATACACTCAGGAGTGGGTGGCAAGCCACCATTTTGGATAGTACACCATTGAGTGTCAAAATATGGGGTGGTAGGTGTGTTAAGTCAGCTGTCTGATTCAGGAGTGGCCTTTCAGGTGAGGTGGATCTGATTCAGGTGAAGTGGGACTTCCACTAGATTTTTTTAAGTGATTGATTAGACTCCCTGAGTGCGTAGAGCTGGAGAGGGCATTCTAGTGGCGTGAAGCTTGGTTTAGGAAATGAGAGATGAATTTAGGAAGGTACTTGGTAGGTATATAGGAACGTTGAAATGATATTTAAGTTGAAGAGTTTGGATTTGATTCTGCAGACGTAGAGGAGACATGAAATAAATTTGTTTTGCCTGTTTTCTGCTAGTGGAGCTGTGTGATGAATGAGAGGTTTTGAGATTACCATTACAGCCCTGTAATGCATTACAGTTCCGAGGTGTGGTTCAAAGACCGAGGGACTGACCGGATATTGTGTTGTTTATATGAGGTTTTACAGAGTGCTTTAGCATGCTTTGTGTTTTGGTGAAGGATGAAACTCAAATTGAGATAGTTTATCCCCTTGGTTGTTGGTGCTTCCTCTTTGATTTGGAACAAATTATTTCTGAGGCTGTTGGTAGGATGATGGCTCTCTAGGCAAAGTCTTTTGGTGGTTGATCATGACGCCAGGTCTGGAGTCTCTCAGTCACTCCAGCCCTGCTTCTCTCCACCAACCCCCAGAGGAGCTGGGGGTGCCAAGCATTTTTCTAAAACATGCTACATGTAACATATGTTACACACGAGGAACCAAAGCTCAGGCTTAGAGGCATGCTGTTGTGGCCGATTTGGTTCTGCTACTCTGGGAGATATTAGGAGGGCAGTGGCTGCAAAGATTTAAGAGAAGTTATTTTCTGGGGCTGTGTAGAATAACTGTAGCTAACTGTAGCTAAAATGGGTATCATCACCATTAACTGGAGGGTGGGGAAGGGTAGACTGGAGAGGGTATTATATTTCAGAAATTTTTCTCACTGCAGCCTCCACCTCCCAGGCTCAAGTGATCTTCTCATCTCAGCCTCCCAAGTAGCTAGGACTAAAGGTGTATGCCACCATCCCTGGCTAATTTTTTGTACAATTTTAAAATACTCTGTAGAGGTGGGAATCTTACCATGTTGCCCAGGCTGGTCTTGAACTCCTGGGCCCAAGCAGTTTACCTGAGTCAACCTCCCAAAGTGCTGGGATTATAGGCGTGAGCCACATGCCTGGCTACATTGCAGTTCTTTTCTTAAGCCATAACAGTATCCATGTTACCTGTTAAGAACTGACCTGTTAATTTAATCATATGCTTCTCTTGAATAAGTGAATCTTAGCTATTCCCAACAGCCTTGCAATTTACTGTTTTTTTTTTTAATTATTAAAACATTTTTAACTGTGAGAAAATACACAGAACATTGATTTATCACCTTAACCATTTTATGATTCAGTATTGTTAAGTATATTCACATTGTTGTGCAATCTCCAGAACTTTTTCATCTTGCAAAACTGAAACTCTGTACCCATTACATTGCAGTAACTCCCCATCCCCCCTTCCCCCAGCCCCTGGCAACCACCATTTTACTTTCTGACAATATGAATTTGACAATGCTACGTATCTCATATGGGTAGAATCATACCCTATTTGTCTGTTTGTAGCAGGGTTATTTCGTTTAGCCAAATGTCCTCCAGGTTCATTCATGCTGTAGCATGTATCAGAATTTCCTCCTATTTGAAGGCTAAATAATTCCCCATTTTGTATATGTATCACATTTTGTTTATCTGTTCGTTCATGAATGGATACTTGGGTTGCTTTTACCTTGTGGCTATTGTGAACAATGCTGTTCTGAGCATAGGTGTACAAATATTTCTTTGAGATCCTATTTTTAATTCTGTTGCATATATATCCAGAAGTATAATTGTTGGATCATAAGGTAATTCTATTTTTAATTTTTTGAGGAACTGCCATATGTTTTCCATAGGAACAGTATCATTTTACAGTATCACTAGTAGTGCACAATGCTTTCAATTTCTCCACATCCTTGCCAGCATTTCTGTTCTATCTTGTTGTTGTTGTTTTTGATAGGGTCTTGCTCTGTTGCTGGGCTGGAGTGTAGTGGCATGATCATGGCTCACTGCAGCCTCGACTTCTGGGGCTCAAGTGATCCTCCCATGTCAGCCTCCGAAGTAGTTGGGACTACAGGTGTGTAGCACTACACCGGGCTAATTTTTATGTTTCTGTAGAGAAGAGGTTTTGCCATGTTTCCCAGGCTGGTGCTTTGTTGTTTCTTTGTTTGTTTGTTTGTTTTTTAAATAATAGCCATCCTCATGGATGTGAGGTGATCTCATTACATTTTTATTTGCATTTCCATAATGATTAGTGATAATCAGCATCTTTTCATGTGCTTGTTGACTATTTTGTGTATCTCCTTTGAAACGATGTCTATTCAAGTCCTTTGCCCATTTTAAACTCGGGTTATTTGTTTTTTGTTGTTGATTTGTAGAAGTTCTTTCTATATTCGGGATATTCAATCCTTATCAGACTTGATTTGCAAATATTTCCTCCCATTCTGTAGGTTGCCTTTTCACTCTGATTGTATCCTCTGATGCACAGAAGTTTTAAATTATGATGTAGTTCAGTTCATTGATTTTTGTTTTTACATTTTTGTTGCTTGTGCTTTTGTTATATTCCAGAACTCATTGCCAAAAACAGTGTCGTGAAGCTTTTCCTATATGTTTTTGTCTAAGACTTTTGTAGTTTTAGGTCTTATGTTTTGGTCTTTATTCCATTTTGAATTTCTGTTTATGGGGTAAGGATTTCCTGGGTTTTAATGAAAGCAAATCTCAAATGAAGTTCTGCCTAACATGTAAATATTTATTAAATATACAGCACTAGTTTTCACAAGAGCTTATACAAGCCGACCTGAGGGTCAGAGCATGGCCAGCTTGCCACTCTGGTAGCTGCTTCACCTCACCTTGTGTGAAAGGTCCATGTGATACAAATACCAAGGAATAGGATTCTGTGCTCGGCTGTTGGCAGCAGGCAAGGAGATATCCTCCTAAACTAGTGGTTGGAGGTATCACGCTCACGGTGTCACACCTTGACATCATCCCTTGCCTGAGTTTTAGCCTTTTTAAGGATGAGGATGTTCTCCGATATCTTAGTCAATCTACTTACATTGAATTCCTTCAGATTCTCCAATGACAGCTTATACCTAACATTCATTATGTTAATTAAAGCCACTAATTTCACCAGTGAAAAACTATTTCTTCTATTCAGTATGCTAAATAGCACAGGTTCTGGTGTTGGTCAAGATGGGATAGCTGGAAGATATATGCATAGCTGAAATGCTTCGCCGGGTCTGAAATGTGGTCTCTGATATAATCCTAGCTGACCCCAGGAATCTGCATTCTCAGGGCCAAGGACTGTCCCTAAGTGCAAAGCTTAAACTAACTGGTCTATACATTTTATCTTCCCATTCATGCTGGAGATTATTTTATGAATTTCTTAATTTGTTCAATACAGAAATAGCAACATCCATCAGATAACTCATTTACTTTGTAGTCTCAACCCAGTAATTAGTGGGTGTTTTTGTTTTGTTTTTCTTTTTCACTTCTACCATACTGTTCTTCCCTTTACTGTACTTGATGTTGATCAAAGGTGTTAGGGAAATACAGCCAGTTAAGAAAAATGTCACAAATATAGGGCATGCATATATTGAGCATATGCTTCCTAAAATGGTTGAACACATTGTTATTCTGAAATCCTAATGAGCAGTTTTCCAAGGTGTTTACAGTCCATGGAGCAGCCTTCCTTGTGAGATTTGCAGGTTGTCTCCTGGCCCTAGGTATAGTACTAGCTGCTTTCTCATTCTGTCCAGATTCTGTTGTTCTGGAGCTGGCAAGGTCTTTCTTGGCCAGAAGATCCCTATCCAATTTATTTTTTTTTCTTGGCAGCTATATTTATTTTTTCATGGTTTCTCTCCCAAACAGTTTCCAACTTGGACCCCAGAGAAGCTGGTTTCCTGGGTCTTTGGTTGTCGAAGGCACGGAGGCTGTTATCGTCCTGTGGTGCTCAGTACAGCCTGTCCTTTGACATTCCCATAAGTATATAAACAATTTTAAAAGGGTTACCATATTCCAGTGAATTAAAGATGCTAGTTCAGGGAGTTCTCTGATTGAGTGTCTGGATTGTCTGATTTTATAATTTCCTGCAGGTCTAGATAGCATCTCTCCCTCCAAAGAAAGAGGCATAGGCTTTACTATAGAAAAGAAGTGGAGGCAAATGTGGTTATAAGGATAAAAAAAACTGTGTGAAAAAAAAATGTGCATCTTAGGAACCTACACTGAATAGTATAAAATGTTGTTTTAATGTTTCATATATGTATACGTAGATAAGTAATTTACATAGAAATGATTTTGCAATATATTAGTCACGGCTGTTTTTGTAACTGAATTAATAGCATTTCAACATTTTTTATTTTTAAATATAGCAAGATCAACTTTATACCTGGGCTGCAGTTAGTCAACCCACACACTCGTTGGATTATTCAGAAGGACAGTTTCCTAGGCGAGTCCCTTCCATGTGGCCACCATCCAAACCTCCAGATGAAGAACACGAGCTCAAGGATGCTGAAGCAGGTAATTGTTTCCTCTGTCTTCAGAGATAACTGCAAGAGGCAAGATGGAGAGATATAAGTTTTATTAAATCTTTGTGTTTTGTTTTGTTTTGTTTTTGAGACAGAGTCTCGCTCTGTCACCAGGCTGGAGTGTAATGGTGCAATCTCGGCTCACCGCAACCTCCGCCTCCTGGGTTCAAGTGATTCTCCCACCTCAGCCTTCCGTGTAGCTGGGATTACAGGTGCCCGCCACCATACTCAGCTAAATTTTTTTGTATTTTTGGTAGAGACAGGGTTTCACTATATTGGCCAGGCTGTTCTCGAACTCCTGACCTTGTGTTCTGCCCGCCTCAGCCTCCCAAAGTGCTAGGATTACAGGCATGAGCCACCGCACCTGGCCTAAATCTTAGTTTTAAGTAATCTTTTATTTTTAATTGCGTGGCATTCAGATATAGTCTTTTAAAAATATTTATTGTTGAGTCTTTTCTCTCTTTGCTCTTTTTGTCATCTTAAAGTGTTTTGTGTTACTGGCTGGCAAGATAGCATGAGATTAGCATCAGGTTTATTTGGAGGAGTTTAGCAGGATGATGACCCGCAATCCTGATTTTAAGAAAACATTTTATATTTGTCATACAGAATTGAGAACGATATTTGTGTAATAATGCTTTATGGAATATGGTTATTTTCTCCCTTGTTTTTTGTTCTTCTTTTTTTTTTTTGAGATAAGGTCTTGTTCTGTAGTGCACTAGAGCAATGGTTAATTACAGTCTCAGCTTCCCTGGCTCAAGCGATGCTCCCAACTCAGCCTCCCAAGTAGCTGGGACCACAGCCATGCACCATCACGTCCGGCAAATTTTTTGTGGAGCCACAGTCTCACCATGTTGCCGAGGCTGATCCAGACTTTGGGGCTCACCTCGGTCTCCTAAAGTACTAGAATTATAAGCATGAGCCGTAGCACCTGGGCTTTTCTTCATTTTGTTGTAATAAATTCCCAACTTCCTCTTGGTGAATGAACTAGGCATAAATATTGATTTCTGAAGCCTGAATGAGGAGTAAATAGAAGAGCATCATTGGTATTCATAGATTTCCCCTCCAGCAGGTTTTCCTAAATGGTAACATAGATATTAGAGTTAAGAATTTTGATTTTTTTTTCCTCATTAGCTCATAGAGAGGAAGATAGTCATTAGAAACTTATTTTTGACACATAGTTGCAGATCATAAATTAAGAGTATGGAGCTTGGGTTTTTGCCACTTATTAGTTTTGTAATTTTAGGCAGACTTTCTAACTACTGTACTGTTTTCTCATCTGTAAAATGGTGATGAGAATAGCATGTACTGCATAGCGCTGTTCTGAGAATTACAGGCATTTATGTGAAGCATTAGAATGTAGATTGCAGTGCCTAGCTCAGTGTGTTTAATATTATTTATTATAATTATCATTATTTCATGTCATCGCCTTAGTCATGAGGTCCCTTTCAAGCCAACAATGGCCAAGAATGTAAAAGGTTTTATTCCAGTCCCCTACCCAAAGTTCTACAAAGGGAGCCTTGCCTTCTATTTTTATCTCAGTCTCTGGAGGGATGTATTTACACCTTTTTTCTTTCCACAAGGGCCCTGAAATGGGGCCCACACTTGACTTTGAATCTCCCATTTCAAATGTCCAGTGCTTTTGAAACACTGCTTGGTATTCAGTAGGTGGGCTGTCCTCCCTGAAATGAACACAAATGGGGGATAGGGTGTAGGAGGTGGTGTTCCAGGTAGGACGCTGAGTTTATCATAACACAGAGAGCAGTTTCCCAAAGGCCAAAGCAGAGTTCCACTAAGCAAAGATGTTCAGAGAGACCTCTAACATGATAGCACCTGAAAATCAAGGGAGTAAAAGTACTTTTCGTTTTTAAAGAAAAACACACAACTGAAAATATTGATCCCATTATCTACACTATTTATGATAACATTTATTGATGCAAAATACTCAGGGGTAGATATAGTAGAATTAATCGATTTCACGGAGAGCCCTTTTAACAGTGATTTATATCCCGTGTTTTGCATCATTGATTGGTTGATATTTTCATGTTTTCTGTTCCCTACTATGTATCATTCTCAACTTTTCTAACTGAAACATTTATATGATATTCTTAAATTTTAGGGCACTTTACAAAATGGTATGAAACATTTTATATTGCTGGTTATATATACTGGTGGAGCATTTGACTCAAAGTTAATTGAGTGTGATGATCTAAATTTTAGTTTGGTAAAAGATGATAGTTAGAACTGATACCAGGAAGTTTGTCATCTGGTTTTTGCTTCATGATTTGATAGCTTGCAAAATGCCAGAGGAAGTGATTTTTAACGAAATAACTTGTCTCCTTTTTAAAAATGCATTCTTGAAGAGGATGATGGAGGTAAGAAGAATTTAACATAGTGACTTATTTTTCTCTGGTTGGTCTATTATAAACCCCAACAGCCATATAGTATTTTTTTCATGAGAGTGACCTAATGTGTCTTTCTAAATGTTTTCTGTTGTGACTCCCTGCCGTTCACTGGGAAAGACACTTCCATGAGATAGCCTCATTCCCCAGGACCATACCACAATCTCTTCTAATCAGTCAGTTGTAAGAGTGGGAATGTCAGTATCATTGGGTAACTTTGCCTGCAATAGCATGTTTTACGTCAATCACAAAGTTTGATAGTATAATTGTTAATAGTATTGATCTATTTGTAGTTAACTGGTAGGTGCACATTCTTATGTAGTGACATCTTGGTTAAATCCACTGTATGTAACATGTGACCCCTTTCTTTTTAATTTTTTTTGTGTCACCCAGGATGGAGTGTAGTGGCACAATTTTGGCTCACTGCAACCTCTGCCTCCCCGGTTCAAGTGAGTCTCCTGTCTCAGCCTCCTGAGTAGCTGGGATTACAGGCACCCGCCACCATGCCTGGCTAATTTTTGTATTTTTAGTAGAGAGGTGGTTTCACTACATTAGCTAGGCTGGTCTCAAACTCCTGACCTCAAGTGATTCACCCACCTCAGCCTCCCAAAGTACTGGGATTATAGGAATGAGCCACTGTGCCTGGCTGACCCCTTCCTGTTTTAATTCAAAGTAAAAGAATTCAATGACATTTTTTTTGAAGAAGAAGAAAGACTTGCAGGTCTAGCTTAGAAAATTGAAGAAGTTTTTTTTGTTTGGTGTGTGTGTGTGCGTGTGTGTGTGTGTGTGTGTGTGTGGTTTGTTTTTTGCTTGTTTTGTTTGTTGTTGTTGTTTGTGGCTCGTTTTTGTTGGTTTGTTTGTTTGAGACAGTGTCTCAGTCTGTCACCCAGGCTGGAGTGCAATGGCACGATCTGGGTTCACTGCAACTACAGCCTCCCGGGTTCAGCTGATTCTCCTACCTCAGCCTCCCAAGCAGCTGGAATTATAGGCACCCGCCACTTTACCCAGCTAATTTCTGTATGTTTGTAGAGATGGGGTTTCCCCATGCTGGCCCAACTGCTCTTGGACTCCTGACCTCAGGTGATCTACCCACCTTGGTCTCCCAAGGTGCTGGGATTACAGGCATGAGCCACTGTGCCTGGCCTTTTTTTCTACCTCTTAAAATTGATTTCCTAATTCACATATCCAGCTAATTCAGATTTGTGGTCCTCTGTCTTCTGCCTTTTTCATGTATCTCACTTTAACTGCATAAAGAGTATCTCACTTTAACATTTTCATTATCTCTTCTGTGAAGGATGTTTTTTTCCACCTTTATGTATTGATGAAGGAACTGACCCTTCTACTTATGAATTGGAAGTGCTGAGGCCATGGCGAGGTCTTGGTGCTTTTTCTTACCAGTGAGTTGCAGATTCCTGGCAGTGCTTTGCTCTCATCCTGGCTCCCTATGCAGTGGCATTGCCTCCACACATGGGCCTAAGGTGTTAGCATCGTCCTTTTGAAGTCTGCAGAACACCTCCTGAATGATAAGACTGGCTGGGGCAAAAGGAAGTAATGTGCTTCAAATATTGGTGGCATTAAACAAATAAAAAACCAAAACAAGTTGGAAGCAGAAACATTGATGCAAAGAAATCCTTTCCATTTATCATTTTCTCTCTATCTCCTCCCTCCATTTTTCCTTGCCTGTACAAGGCACTCACCCACCCATCCATGGCTGTTTTCCACTCACGGGCTCTTTTCTGGAGTCCCAGGACATTCTGTTCATATCTCTGTCGTTTGTTATGGACTAATTTTTTTCTGTTTATATGCGTGTGTGTGTGTGTGTGTGTGTGTGTGTGTGTATGTGTGTGTGTGTCTGTCTTCCCTATCGGCTTTTAGAATTTCAAGACCTTCTGGCACACGGTACATACTTAAATATTCGAGTGAATGATGAAAATCTTTTGCTGGAAAAGATCTAAATAACTATCTTCTGAGCACATTAATCCAAGATTTGAGGGAGAGTTTTGTATGGGCTAAAACAGTTTATGGACCAATTTAGGAGCTCAATACCAAGTTTCAAAGGTCGTTCAATAGATTTGAACAACATCCATGAAATAATTAACTTGACTTTTCAAATTCATGGAGAAGCAGGAGCAGGAGCAAGGTGTGTAGACGTGAATAGGAACTTGACCATTGTTGTTGCATCTATGGAAAATCAAATCCCTTACGTTTCTTTGAAAATGTTAATGGCTGAGCAGAAACAGACGACTGACTTTAGAAAGGCAATCAAGCACAGAAAGTCCTCAAAGAAAATATATGGAAGAGGATCTGGTAGAAACATGGTAGATGACTTCCTGCTGCAAGGAATAAAAGAAAAAATAAAGAACCATGGCAGAATATTTTCATGTAAAAATCCTTTAAAATGCTGTTATCCACCAACCGAATACATTGTAATTCACCTTTTTTCCAAAAAAAGATTTGAGCAGCTTATAAATATGTAAAATGTACAAAAGGATCATAAAGTAATATAGAGCAAACTAAAAGGAATTAGAGATGGAACAGTAAAATGAAACAGAGATAAGATAGCCCACTGAAATGTATCTCATAAGGATCTGAC